AACGTCAAAGACCTGGGAGTGATCATGTCGGAGGATCTCACCTTCAAGGACCATAACATTGTATCAATCGCATCTGCTAGAAAAATGACAGGATGGATAATGAGAACCTTCAAAACTAGGGAGGCCAAGCCCATGATGACACTCTTCAGGTCACTTGTTCTATCTAGGCTGGAATATTGCTGCACACTAACAGCACCTTTCAAGGCAGGTGAAATTGCTGACCTAGAAAATGTACAGAGAACCTTCACGGCGCGTATAGCGGAGATAAAACACCTCAATTACTGGGAGCGCTTGAGGTTCCTAAACCTGTATTCCCTGGAACGCAGGCGGGAGAGATACATGATTATATACACCTGGAAAATCCTAGAGGGACTAGTACCGAACTTGCACACGAAAATCACTCACTACGAAAGCAAAAGACTTGGCAGACGATGCAACATCCCCCCAATGAAAAGCAGGGGTGTCACTAGCACGTTAAGAGACCATACAATAAGTGTCAGGGGTCCGAGACTGTTCAACTGCCTCCCAGCATACATAAGGGGGATTACCAACAGACCCCTGGCAGTCTTCAAGCTGGCACTGGACAAGCACCTAAAGTCGGTTCCTGACCAGCCGGGCTGTGGCTCGTACGTTGGTTTGCGTGCAGCCAGCAGTAACAGCCTGATTGATCAGGCTCTGATCCACCAGGAGGCCTGGTCACAGACCGGGCCGCGGGGGCGTTGACCCCCGGACCTCTCTCCAGGTAAACTCCAGGTAATAAAAGAGAGAAGCTTACGACGACGTTTCGGTCCGACTTGGACCGAAACGTTGTAAATGGTCCAAGTCTGACCGAAACGTCGTCGTAAGCTTCTCTCTTTTATGTGCGGGTTATTTGTGTATCTTGATCTAGGGAATTGGGCCTGTGCTCCGCTTCCCTGAATTGAGCCTGAATACCTTCCATCTCCCCACCACATGTTCTATATAATTCTACGGGTTTAGAGGCCCCCATAATTGTAATAATTCGCCACTTCATCAGTTAATTTGTTCGCCATCCTAAAAATAAAGAAGTATTTACTTACATATCAATGCCTCATCTGCGTCTCTAGCTTCTATCTGTTCTCTCATTTAACGTTTCATTCTATCCAGTCCCCTGGACATCTTGTACGTCGTTATCACATTTTCCCTGGGTTTTTTCTCTTCCATGGTTGTTACGTTCATTTCCTTCATGCTCTTCTCAGAGTTCAGCCTCTCAGCTCCTAAACCAGTTTAGATGCAAACCTATGTACCTTTAGCTTCTGAAACTGCATTTTGAGGCATACGCTACATGATGATACTACATATTGTAAATGACCTTGATAAAAGTCGTGTTTAGTTTCTTGAAGGGCTGTTTGTTGAGGCATCTGAAGGCAGTTCCAAGATTAGCAGGCCTCGTATGTACTTTAAATTATACGCTATTTACATGGATTCGGTTATATGTTCAGTGTAATGATCTCTCCCAGAGCCTTCTCCTTGCAGATATTTTGTAGTTTCTTCCTTCCCAGTCAATCTGCTTTAATACAAAGTTTCGCCCAAGGCTTGGCTTTATCAAGTACACAGGAAGGAGCAAATACGTCGCCTTGTAAGATAAAGGAGCACCAGTGACCCATCTAACCAAAACCATTGAACAAAACAGGGGAATCTGAATGCTGGTTGAACCTATTGCCCACATTATCTACGATTCATAAAATAAACTTGTTACCTTACCCCCACCCCCAGCTCCCAACAATACCTGACCTCACCAGACCTGATCTCGCAATTTAATGACCTGTGTGACGTGTTTTTCTCCGAGCCTGCCTTATAAGGCGATGTATTTGCCCATTCCTGTGTACTGGATAAAACTTAGTCTTGTAAGAAACATTGAATAAAAGTGTTCGCTGTTACCAGTGTTACTATTTCTTCTTGTAGGCTTTAGCCATTATCTGTCTATGTCAAGTCTCCCTTTACTCTCTGATCTGCATGACCTTGTACTTGTTTTGATTCATCAGCAGTGCCCATTAATTTGACCAATCCTACTGTCTTTCTGTGCCTTTCTCCATCCTTTCCTGTTCTTATTCTTTTCATTAGTTGCATAACAGCAGCAAACAGCAATACATAGGATTCAGTCTTCTTTTACAGGTGAGTATATTACAGAGGCGGCGCCAGAATTTCTGTTATAAGGGGCTTTGAGGTGGCTGTCTGGCTAGGAAACTTGTTTTTAAGTAGCGTTATTATTATTGTTTTTTTTTATTTAGTGGGCTCTGGAGGCTGAGGGAAATTTTGAGGGCTGAAATCCCTCAAGACAATGAATATATATTTATATATAACCTCTGGTCACGACCCTAATTCGTTCCAAAGCTCTGGTCGCGACCCGATTTGGTCGTGACCCAAACCTATTATTATTAAAGATTAGCCGGTATGCTCCCGGCCCGGGCCTTTTCCAAGTGGTGGCCCGGCCTTGGCTCCCTCTTTAGGGAGTGTCTGAGACCTAAGTCTCCCATGGGAGGAGGCACAAGTACCTCCTCATCTTTGGGACCAACTGTCCCCAGGCCTAGCCACAAGCTAGGCCTCTCTGGTCTGCCATCCCCGCCCCAAGGGGGCAAATGGGAATGACAGTCTTATGAGCTAAAGGCTCGGGCTCAGGCACCTACCCTACCCTAGAAGGGTTAGGCATGGTGTCGATCACCCAAACCTATTTTTTTTTTTTTTTTTTTTTATTCGCCGGTATTCTCCCGGCCCGGGTCTTTTCCAAGTAGTGGTGACCCGGCCTTGGCTCCCTATCTGGGGAGTGTCTCGAGACTTAAGTCTCCCATGGGAGGAGGTACAGTACCTCCTCATCTTTGGGACCAAGTGTCCCCAGGCCTAGCCACATTCCCCGCCCTCACGGGGCTCGTAGGGAGAAGCTAGGCCTCTGGTCTGCCATCTACCCCGCCTCGAAGGGGCTCGTGGGGATGGCAGCCTTATGAGCTGCAGATGGTAGCAAGCTCAAGCCTTTTACCCAAACCTATTATTATTATTATTATTATTAAAGATTAGCCGGTATTCTCCCGGCCCGGGCCTTTTCCAAGTGGTGGCCCGGCCTTGGCTCCCTCTCTAGGGAGTGTCTGAGACCTAAGTCTCCCATGGGAGGAGGCACAAGCACCTCCTCATCTTTGGGACTAACTGTCCCCAGGCCTAGCCACAAGCTAGGCCTCTCTGGTCTGCCATCCCCGCCCCAAGGGGGCAAATGGGAATGACAGTCTTATGAGCTAAAGGCTCGGGCTCAGGCACCTACCCTACCCTAGAAGGGTTAGGCATGGTGTCGATGACCCAAACCTAATTTCCCCAATGGATTGTATGTAAATACGATTAATCCGTTTCAGACCCCTATGAACTGTATGTAAGTATTGTTTTTAAGATTTTTAAACGCAATATATATATATATATATATATATATATATATATATATATATATATATATATATATATATATATATATATATATATATATATATATATTAAGAATAGCAAGGGCTTTAGTATCGATCCTTTGGGGTTAACCCCGCTTGTTACTCACCATCCTAACAGCCTGATAAACAGCAGCTGAGGTGTAAGGATTATTGTTAAATTTACGAGGAAGCGCTAAATCCGTAGGGATCATGCAATGCCTGGGGAATGAGAAGCAGCCAGGTTCGATCCAAAGAAAGTGAGGATAAGTCCAATTCCTTAGATCGAGATCCCCCCACGAGCAACTAAGAACATCCCAAGAGTGACGGGGGATAAGGAAACTTTCCATACATTGCTCGGTTAAGGTTTTAACGTAAAATGACTAAGTGAGAATAAACCTGCTGACAAAGTTTACATTTGATTGGTCTACCACCAGCTACCGATGTAAAATCTTAGGTCTTTATAAATAATGGCTATGACAGACATTTGGCTCATCCTGCAACCTTGAATTTTGAATGTATAAATTTTTGTGTGAAAATAGGCTTAGGATGCAGCAACCTGCAGGATAAAATAATCACAGGTGGATTACTGTTAATATCGCTCTACTTCAGGTCTCAGTTGTTAGAGATCATTATAAATGGCGAATTCTTTATGCTTGCAAGAAATGACCCCTCAAGGAAGGTTCCTTGATGTTGGTGAGGGGCTCTTGATTTAGGGAATTGGATCTGTGCTCCAGTTCCCCGAATTAAGCCTGAATGCCTTCCACATCCCCCCCAGGCGCTGTATAATCCTCCGGGTTTAGCGCTTCTCCCTTGATTATAATAATAATAATTGCAAGAAATGAAACATAATCATTGTTGCATATAAGGTACAATGTAATTTGGGAAGTCGAATTAAAAGGTGGACATTAATGTAATGCCTATAAAGAATAAAAAAGTCACATTACTGTAACTGGAACACTATATAAATAACCCGCACAGGAAAATGAACTTATGACGACTTTGCTGTCCCAGTTGGAACATTAACTAGTCATTCAAGTTAATGGTCCAAATCGGACTGAGACATCATAAGTTCATTCTCCCCTGTGCGGGTTATTTGTATATAATGTGTATAATAGCAGCGAGTATTGTATATAATTCTGCTGTGAAAATGCTGGCCGACTCGATCTGAAAAAGCAACCGGGTACACTACTCTCTTGTCCCTACCATGATATGAACATTTTCGAAGGAGAGAGAGAGAGAGAGAGAGAGAGAGAGAGAGCACTAGTTCGTAGCGCTCTAATACCTTTTACCCAACACAAGACTGGAGATTTTGTTTTTACACGGGATATGACATTCCAGGAGGATTGAAGCTTTCTGACACATTTTTTTCTCTGTGTGCGACAAACTTGAGTGAACTAACACACAGGTGCCTATTTTTCTGCTAGGTGGGCAAGGGCAGCAGGATTTTAAAGGCCCGGGGTACGGAAACGCCTTTTGTTTTGTGCTGTGGATTTTCCTGCTGGTTTTGGGAGTTAACTTGTCACTGGTCCCGGTGGGGTGTGTGAGTTTATTTAGGCACAAATACACATAAGCATAGTTACACAAATTTAGGTGACTACAATTATCATACAAAATAACATGTGTAAATAACCTAGGATAGCCCACAGGAGTCAGACGAAGTAATTTATTGCCATAGGGGTCCAATTTTCCCAGGTTTTAGGTGGATAGCTCACCTTTAAATTAATTACATTCAGTTCGTCGTTCCTGTGAACTCATTTTTATTTTTCCCCGACAGATTTGTGCAGTATTTCCAGGCAGGATACAAGGTTGCGGGGCACAATACCTCGTGAGCAGTGCTTGCCCTTGTCTACAATTACAATTGCCCAACACCTGTATTACATTGTTGCAATATAAGATATATATAACACAGATGTCAACCATCAGCCACAACGGAACACCTCTGGCAGAAATCATTAAGTGTGTGAACTTTGCAGCTGTAAAGCATAAAAATCAAAGGCGAAAAGACCCAGAACAAACTCCCTACATTAATCACCCAATTGGTAAGATACATCCTGTCTTAAAACAATCAATGTCATTGAATTTAATGAAATGTTTTTATAGTGAAAAACTGTTATGACGCTATTTTGTATGGCTATAGTTTCTGACAATTACTTGGTGCATGTTGAACATTATTTTACACTTCCATTACTTGCAACCTGTTTGTATGTACATCATGGAATCTGTATTTCTTTTGCAAATTTTTATTTGGGATATAAACGAAAACGGTTAGATTAGGCTTGGTTAGGTTAGATATCGTTTAATTAAGATTAAGTTAGGTTTGGTTAAGTTAAGTTAGGTATCGTTTAGTTAAGGTTAGGTTAGGTAAGGTAAGGTAACTTTTCGTGAAGTTATATAACAACCAGAAAACACCACTCATTTTTTTTTTTTACATTGGGCCAGGTATGAGGGTCACTTTATTGTGTTGTGCCACCTAAATACATGTATTCATTTTCCTCTGAAGGAGTTGGGATGTTTGTAGTTTTGAGGGTTATCTGAGCACTCTGGCAGAGTGATAGGAGTGACTGATGATGAAAGTGTTTTTGTGTTTTGGTCACCCTACCTCAGTGAGAGAAGGCCGATGTGTTTTTTTAATTATTATTATTATTAATACATTTGAGGGCAGTGTGTGGTGCGAATATTATGCAAGATTTTAAGAGCATAAAAATTAGGGTTACTATGTATTAGGCTAGAGTTTGGGCATTTAGGGAAGATGGAGAAGGATAAGATAACTAAGAGGGTACATAAATCCTGGGTTGAAGAAAGGGGTCATCCCACAATGAATTGGAGGGAGGGTGTGAAGGTTTTAAGTTATAAGGGCTTAAGTATTCAGCAGACATGTAACAGCAGTACACGATCAGCCAGGCTATAGTTCATAAGTTGGACTGTGTGTAGCCATTGATAACAGCCTGGTTGATCAGGCCCTGATCCACTGGGAGGTCTAGTCAAGAATTGGGTCACTTGAGCATTGGCCACCAGAATAACCTCCAGGCAGACTCCAGACAGGAAGCATGTTATGGCAGGGTTAGCAAGGACAAGTGGTTTTAGGGATATGACATCCTGTTGGAGTGTGAGCAAGGTAACATTTATGAAGGGATTTAGAGAAACCTGGTTAGCCAGATTTGGAGCCCTGGTGGGGGAGGTACAGTGCCTCCACTCTGAAGGAGGGGTGGGGATGTTACAGTTCAGGGAGCTACTTGAATTACAATGTCTATGCATTTTTGGCAAGACAGCATTTGAATGACTAGGTAAATGGTTCATTTTTAGATAGAAGCTGGCCATTGAGATAAAAAAAAATTACTATTATTAACTGTAACCCTGTACAATACAGTATTAGCTAGAATGCTGCCCCAAAATTTGTGCACATTACACACTTCTCAAACACTATTATGACCAAATTGCAGTCTTGTCTACACTGATATGATGTAACATTATCTTTCAGCTATGTTTACAGTTAAGCTTATATTTTGGGTGAAATCATTTTTCCTTTTTCAGGTGTAGCTTTTCTTCTGGTGGAAGGTGGAATAGATAACTTAGCAGTCTTGCAAGCTGCTGTGCTCCATGACACTGTTGAAGACACACATACTTCTAATGAAGAACTTGTTAGGGAATTTGGCCCTGAGGTAGCTGGCATTGTTGCAGAGGTATGTGAGGAAGAATTTTAGTGAAATTGTTTTATTGTGTTGGATTGGAATATACTACTAATAATATATCTTTTGTCTACAGCTACATGTACAAGGTATACAGGCCTAGCTGACATCAATGGCATGCTACTAAATAGAATGCCCCTTGTTATGCAGAGCCTTTTGGGCAAATTAAGTCAATAGTCCCAGGATATGACCCACACCAGTCAACAACACCCAGGTATCCACTTTACTGATGGGTGAACATGGATAACTGGCATAAGTAAATACCCAATGTGTCTACCCTTGCTGGGAATTGAACCCGGACCCTCACCATGTGAAGCGAGAGCTTTTGCCACCAGGCCATGGGCCACCGTTACTGTATTTGAATATTCCTATCCTCTTTTCTTTTATCATTCATTCTTAAAATATATTTTAAGCATGAATGAGCTATGATGAAAAGCAACTATATTGCTAACATCTGATTAATGTAACTTCCACTAGTGGGACCATCTCACCAGTGACCTTATCATCAAGCTGCTACACCTCACTTTCCAGCATATAAGCCTCTGGCCACTTGCTAAAAGACTGTCTTACTCCAAGTGTGATGAACTTCTCTACTTTGCATACTTCATTTTCCATAAAAGTCCACAAAAGTCATTATATTAGACCTTAGTGCAATTATTTGATTACCACTTTATTGTTCACCACAACTTATATTAGTCCCTTTTATATTATAATTTTATATTATAATTCTAACTTTAAAGAATTACCTTTAAAGTACTACCTACTATCATATTCCCAAGCTCCATTATTTGATCATCACTTTATTTGTTCACCACAAATTATTTTAGTCCCTTTTATATTGTCTCCTTTATTTTAGCTTTAAAAAACTACCTTAGCTCATTATTTTTACATTTGTTAAATAATTCAGGTGCTGTTTTTTTAGCTTTAGAATAATTACTTTGTTTTATACTTAATTCTAACTATAGATTCACTACAAATCTTATGATTACAAGCATTGATCCTGATACCAACCTCTTATTTAATGACTTAAATGATTCAAACAGTTACTGTAATTACTACACAGCAGAACAATCAAAGGCACTTCTCAGAGCCAACAACAACATAACTATCTTTAACTACAATATCAGATCTTTAAGCAAGCATTACGATGACCTCCTAGCATTACTAAATTCCTTGCATGCCAATATGTCCTTCATTACACTAACTGAAACCTGGCTAAAGCCTGATACTACAGATGTCTATGCCATTCCTGGTTACACAGCCATACACAACTGTAGGCCAGACCAACTAGGGGGTGGCACAGCTATATACTACTCAGACCAACTAGAATGTATCACTAATACTTGCACAAGGGATGAACATGGGGAATATATAATAGCTAAATTCAAATCCAAATACCTACAAAAACCTCTCACAGTGATAAACATCTACAGAGTTCCACAATCAAACATTAGCCAATTTAGTCAAAACCTAGGAAGTATGATAACTGATGCACGCATGAACAAAGATCACTTACTACTCTCAGGTGACTTCAATATAAATCTCCTGCAAGACCAAGACCCACACATTACTGAATTCACAAACACAATGAGTAACTGCATGTTGCTACCAACAGTAACAAAACCTACAAGAGTTACGGAGACTAGTGTTTCCCTACTTGACCACATCTGGACCAACACCATATCCCCTTTAAAATCAGGCATAATTACAGATAATGCCACAGACCACTACCCTACTTTCCTCATAACAACTCTTGGTAAAATACCCCAAGACACTACTAAAGTCACCTTCAGACTTCACAATGAGGCAGCCATTAATAACTTCACAACAGCAGTAACAAACATTGACTGGCACACTGAGCCAGAAATCTATACAGATATTGACGAATGTTTTAATAATTTTCTAAAAAAAGACCAATACCTCTATAACAAGCACTGCCCTAAAAAAACTAAACAGATGACAGCTAAGAGACTGAACAGTCCCTGGCTAACACCCAGCATTCTCAAATCCATAAATACAAAACACCGATATGAAAATCAGTACAGAATGGGTCACATAACCAGAGACCAAACAAAACGTTACTCGTCATTCCTAACCAGCCTGATAAGAAGGGCAAAAAAACTGTATTATGAGAACAGATTATCCAACTTACGAGGTGATATAAAAAAGACCTGGAAGACCCTATCAGAAATTCTGGAACAAAAAAAGATATCATGAAATAGCGAAATAAAATTAGCAAAATCAGATGAACCCCAACTCCCACCAACAGAAACAGCAAACAGACTCAATGATTTCTTCTCCACTATAGGGCAAAACCTTGCCAATAAAATCCCAAGCTCAGATACCCCACCAAATGACTACCTCACTGGCAACTACCCGAACACACTGTTCCTAGCTCCGACTAACCCATACGAAGTCTCCCTTATTATCAACGCACTAAAAAACAAGGCAGGAGATTTAAATACCTTACCACCCTTTATATACAAAAAAGTGTCACAAGTACTATCACCAATCATTGCAACACTCTTTAACAAATCCATTGAATCCTCCACCTTCCCTACAGCTCTCAAAATAGCAAGGGTCACCCCAATCCATAAAGGAGGAGACCAAACAGAATTGAATAACTATAGGCCAATATCCAATTTACACCCTCTCTCAAAAATCTTCGAAAAATTAATTCATAAACGAATCTACTCCTACCTCATCTCCCAAAACATTCTCAACCCCTGCCAATTTGGATTCAAGCCTAATAAAAATACTAATGATGCTATTATACACATGCTAGAACATATATACACTGCAATAGAGAAAAAAGAAGTCCCACTGGGGATCTTCATTGACTTACGTAAAGCTTTTGATACAGTTGACCATGACTTGCTCCACGTAAAATTGTCACACTATGGTATTAGAGGGCACTCCCTCAACTACTTCAAGTCATACCTCAGCAACAGAAGCCAATATGTGTATGCAAATGGGGCAAGCTCTTCCGCTCAACCAATTACAGTTGGTGTCCCACAGGGAAGTGTCCTTGGCCCTCTTCTCTTTCTCCTATACATAAATGACCTACCAAATGCTTCGCAATTACTCAAACCCCAAACACTTTTTGCAGATGACACTACATACGTCTTCTCTCACCCGAGCCCAGTCACGCTAGCCAATACTGTAAACACCGAATTACAGAAAATATCTACCTGGATGAGGACTAACAAACTTACACTAAACATTGACAAAACCTACTTCATTCAGTTTGGTAACAGAGCTACAGATGTACCTCTTAACATAACGATAAACAGATCACCTATCACAAAGCTAACAGAGGGAAAATTCTTAGGAATCCACCTTGATAATAGACTCAAATTTCATACACATATACAACAAATTTCTAAGAAAATTTCCAAGACTGTAGGCATACTATCAAAGATACGGTACTATGTTCCACAGTCAGCCCTCCTGGCCCTTTATCACTCTCTTATTTACCCCTATCTTACCTATGGAATTTGTGCATTGGGCTCAACAACAATTAACCATCTCAGACCACTAATTACCCAACAAAAGGCTGCAGTTAGAATGATAACAAATTCTCACTACAGGCAGCACACTCCACCAATATTCAAAACACTCAACCTACTCACCATACAAAACATCCATACTTATTACTGCACCTATTACATACATAGAACACTTAACTCTGATATTAACCCTCCCCTCAAACATCTCCTTGCCAACCTCAACAGAACACATGACCATAACACAAGGCACAGATCACTCTTTGATGTTCCTCGTGTCCATCTCACGCTATGCAAAAACTCAATGCACATAAAAGGCCCTAAAATCTGGAATTCATTACCTGTAAATATAAAAGAAACACTACCTGTTTATAAATTCAAGTCTCTTCTCAAAGATCACTTTACTCACTCAAAACCAAATAAATACTGAATAACTGAACCTTATAAATTGTATATCCTATATGTTACTCACAATTATATCACACAAATGTTAAACCTAGGACCCAATCTAACTTCGTTATTTTTTTAAATACACTACCTAACAGAATACTCCATTCGACTGAATGTACAGCAATGCATGCAACCATATGACCTGTCTTTGTAATACTCATTTGTGCTTTATAGTTATCTGTTTACAATAATGTTTTATCACTGATTTCATCATTGCTTAGTTAATCTTAATTTAATTTTAAGCCAGCCCGTAATGCTATGCATATAAGTGGCTTTGGCATGCTGCTCTTACCTGTATTTTTTTGTATCTCTGTATGTATGCTAAAATTACTAAATAAATAAATAAATAAATAAACAAACCATACCCCGGCCGGGATTGAACCCGCGGTCATAGAGTCGCAAAACTCCAGCCCGTCGCAATCATGTCATTACGATTTCGTGAGTCAGTTCATTTTCCATCAGTGCTGATGTCTCTAATTGACTGATGAAACCTGCAGCACAGGTAAAACTTTTCATCAGTAAAAATAACTAGCGTTGTCCATGTGTCTTACTCTTCATATAAAGTCAAAGAAGGACATGAAACACTAGATCAAGCCTATGGCTTTTAAAAGAACAAAAAGACTAGTACCTGCAAGGCAGTTATGAAGAAAAAATAATAAAAAAAAAACAGCCTTGCCTAACTACTGCCTTTTCACAGAACAACAAATGTTAATACTTATAAGACGATTAAAAAAAAATAATCTAACCTAACTAATAAAAGCTTGATTAAAGTAGATATAGCACACAAAATAAAAATAATAACCAGCAGCAAAATGGAGGAACATAAAATGTTTTGCAAAGCAGACAATACTAAGAGCAAAAATATTAAAGATAGATTTAAGGCAAAAGAGATGGAAGAGAAAAGTTATGAACTAACTAAAACTGACTGACTAAACCTTAGCAAAAATGAGCACTGGAGGCAGAAAAGGCAAGCTTTAATTTATGTAGCTCCAAGATATGTTGCTCCATTTAACTCGGGATGACTTATTATTCCATGCCTCTATGTATGCAGCATCAAAATTACTATTCAGATTGGTATAAAACTTTGTGTTCAAGTTCATCTTTTAGAACTTTATAAAGCAGGAGATTTGTATCAAACTTAGTAATCTTGGCAAACTGTTGTATTTTCATATGACCCTTTACGGTTGTAGGATAGTTATGCATGTTTGAAACAGTATATATGTTCACTATGAAGACCAAGCATATATATCAAAAGGATGTAAATACAGTCATAAGTGTGTGTATTTTAAAATACATATGTTTGGTAAGTTATTGTATTACTCTTCACCTAGGTTACTGATAACAAGAGCCTGAGTAAGGAAGAGAGGAAAAGACTTCAGATTGTGAAAGCACCTTTAGCATCTCAAGAGGCTAAACTGGTTAAACTTGCAGACAAATTGTACAACTTGCGTGACTTGGATCGAGCCACACCTTTCGGTTGGACACCAAATAGAGTGAATGAATATTTTCACTGGGCAGCTAAAGTAGTTGCTGGCTGCAGAGGTACCAATGATTTCCTTGAAAAAGAGTTAGATAAACTCTTTGCCAAAAGAAAGGTAGCTATATAATGTTAAAAGTAAGTACAAGTATGCCTTGTATAATCATTGTCAAAAATTTCCTCAGGGATTTCTTTTGCCATTTGGGTGACTATTATACTGTACTAAATAATCCAGAACTCAATGATTTTAAAATTAATACATGTATATACTATATATATATATATATACTATATATTTTTTTCAACATGTCGGTCGTCTCCCACCGAGGTAGGGTGACCCAAAAAGAAAATACTTTCATCATTCAACACTTTCACCTCACTCACACATAATCACTGTCTTTTCAGAGGCACTCGGATATGACAGTTTAAAAGTCAACCTCCAAAGTGCCAATATCCCAAACCCCTCCTTTAAAGTGTAGGCATTGTACTTCCCATTTCCAGGAGTCAAGTCCAGCTAACCGGTTTCCCTGAATCCCTTTACAAAATATTTCCCTGCTCATACTACAACAGCTTGTCAGGTCCCAAAAGCCATTCATCTTCATTCACACCTATCTAACATGCTCACACACTCTTGTTGGAGGTCCAAGCCCCTCACCCACCAAACCTCCTTTACCCCCTCCCTCCAACCTCTTCTGAGATAACCCCTACCCTGCCTTCCTTCCCCAGTAGATTTATATGCTCTCCAAGTCATTCTACTTTCTTCCATTCTCTGTAAATGAAAAGAACCACCTTAACCCTTTCAGGGTTTTGGACGTACGTACTAGTACGGCTTACGCACCAGAGTTTTTGACGTACTAGTACGCCTAAATTCTAGCGCCCTCAAATCTAGTGAGAGAAAGCTGGTAGGCCTACATATGAAAGAATGGGTCTATGTGGTCAGTGTGCGCAGTATAAAAAAAATCCTGCAGCACACAGTGCATAATGAGAAAAAAAAAACTTTGACCGTGTTTTTGGATTAAAACAGCAACTTTGCACTGTATTTTCGTATGGTATTTATTGTTGTGTTCTAGTTTTCCTGGTCTCATTTTATAGAATGGAAGACATATTACAGAAATTGAGATGATTTTGACTGGTTTTACAATGAAAAGTACCTTGCATTTGAGCTCAAAGTAGCAGAAATGTTTGATTTTTACCAAAGTTCAAAAGTAAACAAATCATGCTAAGCGTCCAATACACATCAACTGGTGAGTCTGATATTCTTTCACAAGTGCGCCGGTATTATTTATACCATTTCTATACTAATGCAGTAGTCTGCATAACAGTAAATCTTCTATTTTTTGTGAGAATAAAAAATTCAAAGTGGAAAGCAAAAGAATGTAAGAGGGGCATGGGGATGTGACTGATGAACAGAGGAAATGTTATTTTAGTGCCAGGAATGTCTTTCTTGTTTATTCTGGACCCTATTTGGAAATTGGCATCTTTTGAAATTTGTGTAAAATTGGCAAAATTGCTAAATTCTGACCACTGTATTGGATAGCTGAAATCGGTAAATGGGTGGTTTCTTGTACTCATTCGATAGAAAAAAATGAAGTTCTAGCGAAATAGTTACGATTTTTGTCGGCTAGTACACTGGAATTGGCCAAAAATAGGGCTCAAAGTGGGCAAAATCGCCGATGCGTAAACACCGCTAACTTCGCGAGACCATAATTCCGTAAGTTTTCCATAAAATTTCATACTTTTGGTGTCATTATGATTGGGAAAAGATTCTCTATCTTTTCATAAGAATTTTTTTTTTTTTTTTTTTTTTTTTAATTTGAGAAGGCCTGGGGACCCTGAAAGGGTTCACAGCCCCTCTTCAGCCCTCTGACTAATACTTTCAGTAACTCCACACTTCCTCCTAATTTCCACACTACGAATTCTCTGCGTAATATTTACACCACACATTGCCCTTAGGCACGACATCTCCACTGCCTCCAGCCGTCTCCTCGCTGCAGCACTTAAAACCCATGCTTCACACCCATATAAGAGTGTTGGTAATACTTTACTATACTATACTCTTGTACATTCCCTTCTTTGCCTCCATGGATAACGTTCTCTGTCTCCATAGATACCTCAACGCACCACTCACCTTTTTTCCTTCATCCTTCATAAATCCATCTGCTGTTAAGTCAACTCCCAAATATCTGAAAACATTCACTTCTTCCATACTCCCTCCCTCCAATGTGATATTCAATTTTTCTTTATCTAAATCGTTTGATACCCTCATCACCTTACTCCTATCTATATTCACTTTCAACTTTCTACCTTTAGACACCCTCCCAAACTTGTCCACTAACCTTTGCAACTTTTCTTTAGAATCCCCCAAAAGCACAGTAACATTAGCAAAAAACAACTGTGCCAACTTCCATTTTGTATTTGATTCCCCATAATTTAATCCCACCCCTCTCCCCAACACTCCAGCATTTACTTCTTTTACAATCCCATCTATAAATATATTAGACAACGTTTGGAGATGGCCGAAAAAAAAAAAATGGTGACATTACATATCCCTATCTAAGACCTATTTTTACTGGGAAGTAATCTCCCTCTCCTACACGCCCAAACCTGAGCCTCACTATCCTCAAAAAACTCTTTACAGCATTTAGTAACCTACTACCTATTCCATACACTTGCAGCATCTGCCACATTGCTCTCCTATCCACTCTATCATATGCCCTTTCTAAATCTATAAATGCAGTGAAAACTTCATTTATATTAATTTTAGCATTTTATTTTTCATGTAGCCAATTTGTTCATTACCATTGTATTCTGTCAAGCTTTTAAATAGCTTGATCCGTATTACAAAAATGTATAATGTGTATAGGTTTGCTATTTTTATCCACTTTATTGTTTTACCGCCTCTTACTGAACTTCCCTTCAACTTCTCCAACTGTACAGTCTTCATATCTACTAATAGTACATGTCAGTTGTAATGATTTTTTTCTACATGCTCAGTCCATTAATGAGCATTTGATTTAAACCATTTCAACTTTACTTAAAGCATGTGTTCATCTCGTGCTTTTCTGTTCACTACAGTATTCAGATTACTCTCAAATTCAGTATGGCAGGTCACAGACGTAGAATGTCCAACACTTGCAATTTTGGCACTGTGGAACCAGTATAGTGGTTTAAAAAAAAAAAAGGTTGATATGCAATTTCAGCAATAATAAATATTCAGATATTAGTTTACATAATGTTTTCTTTTTCATCAAATGCATTTAAAGGTTGTGCATATTCATTTGTTTGGTAGGGATTGGTCAAGATTTACAAATTTAAAATTCATGATTTTTATGAGTGAATTTACATTTTTCTGTTTACAAAATATATTCATACTTTATTTCATGAATGTATATTATTATTATTATAATAAAAAAAAGTGCTATCATGAATGTATAGAAAGCTCACATTTGTTGAGAAGGATTGATGAAGAAGTATAGATTTAATATGTCTGAGTTTCTTAAAGTTGAATCGCTATAAAAACAAAACTTTTTTTTTTTTTAACCAAATTCATTGGTATTTTGTGTATGTTCATTTTATGCTAATATGAAGAGTTCATGCTTTTCATAGAGCATGGTTAAGAACTATAGAGTAGACATTTACTGTGTGTTGTTCTGCTGAGTTATGGTCACTGCTTCTACATGCTGCTCTCATGTTTGACATGACCAGCGAGTGAAATACGGACAGTGGAAGCTTAGGCAACAAACTCCCTCTCAGTTATTCCTACCACTGCCTTCTTACATAGCAGTGAAGAAGTGAGTATATGTAAAGAACCTCAAGTTAGGTATGATGCAAGCGAGAAGGTGGGAGTGAATAGGAGAGCAAGAAAGTGAGAGAGGCAGTTTAGCTACTGCCCATTCCTACACATCATCCCATTCTTCCCACACCAACACACCCGGCCACAGGATTGACGAAGTGGTGAGCATATATAAGATGTATTGTGTTAAATACAATGCGAGTGAGGGTGACAGTAAATAAGAGAGCGAGAATGAAAGGGAGGCAGTCCAGCTGCTCTCTGCTCCAACACTGTTCTGTACTACGTGTTATTGCTTTGTATGATTTTATTTTTTTTTTTAACACCCGCCTTCTCCCACCAAGGTAGAGTGACCCAATGAAGAAGTAAAAAGTTTTTCCTTTTTTCACATTTAGTAATTTATGCAGGAAAAAGGGTTACCATGTATGTATTAAACCTTTATGTACTACAGTATTTGTAAGTAAAATATTAGGTGAATATTCTTAGTTAAAAAATGAAAGAAATTATTTTTTTTTTTTTTTTTTTTTTTATCACACCGGCCGATTCCCACCAAGGCAGGGTGGCCCGAAAAAGAAAAACTTTCACCATCATTCACTCCATCACTGTCTTGCCAGAAGGGTGCTTTACACTACAGTTTTTAAACTGCAACATTAACACCCCTCCTTCAGAGTGCAGGCACTGTACTTCCCATCTCCAGGACTCAAGTCCGGCCTGCCGGTTTCCCTGAATCCCTTCATAAATGTTACTTTGCTCACACTCCAACAGCACGTCAAGTATTAAAAACCATTTGTCTCCATTCACTCCTATCAAACACGCTCACGCATGCCTGCTGGAAGTCCAAGCCCCTCGCACACAAAACCTCCTTTACCCCCTCCCTCCAACCCTTCCTAGGCCGATGTGATGTGATAAATTATTATGGCTTGGGAAAACATCTTGGATTACAACATGGATTAATGGGAAACTAGGTTCTTAGTTCTGAATAATCAGTTTACAAACATTTTTGAACAATGCATTAATTCATAAGTGTGATACCTACTGTATTAGTTGTCTATATTTAGTTGAGAGTACTTGAAAAATTGAAAGTAATCATATTTGTTTTAAGGAATGAAAGGATAGATGCAATTCCTTGGATCAAGAATGCTTCACTGGTATCAAGGCACTCCCCTCCTTGTTATTAGTTTGCTATTCTTGTGCATGAGCTAGTCAAGTCTAGTGTATCCTTCATCTACAATCCTCTTCATCAGTTATCAGAATATATTGTACATCATGTTCATTGATTATCATCATGGAAGAGCACTAAACCCATAAGGATTATACAGTGCCCATTGGGGGGGGGCAGAAGGCATTCAGGTTTAATTTAGGGAATTGGAGCACAGATCCAATTCCCTAAATCAAAGAGTCCCTCACCAGAATCAAGGACCTTCCCTTGAGGGGCATGGTCATTAATACAAAGCCTATTCTCTAAACTGCAGATTTAAAATTTACTAGCATGTTGACATCAGCAGCATCCCTTCCTTGTTCAACACTTCCTGTTTATCACTTACTGTACCATCATTATTATAATTATAATCATGGGGGAGCGCTAAACCCGTAGAATCATACAGCGCATGTGGGAGGGGGATGGAAGGTATTCAGGCTCAATTCAGGGACCTGGAACACAGATCCAATTCCCTAGATCAAGAGCCCCTCACCAGCATCAAGAAACCTCCCTTGAAGGGTACTGTACAATCAAGGGAAAGAGGTGCATTGATTCCAGTGAAGAGCTATTTATTCAAGAAATTAGAGCTATTCTTCCCTTCCTTGGTTCAAGCTTAATTACTTCAACTTTCCAGGCTCTATATGACCCCTGTGAATGTTGAGGGAATGCTAAACCCATAGGGGTCATACAGTGCCTGGGGATATAGGAGACATTCAGGTTTGATCCACATGCATACTATACTGATGTTATCCAGCAAGTGTTTACAATGGACCCTGGGTAAAGGAGTAAGGAGGAGTGTTTGGAGATGGGTGTGGGCTGGGAGCAACTCTAGGGATACCTCTCTCACATCATGTAAATTGAGGTACAGGGGGCTGAGGAAGGAAGTCAGGTCTAGTTCTTTAGATCAAGAGCCCCTTACCAGCATCAAGGAAAGTCACTTGAGGAGCCCCTTGAATGTAATAACACTTACCAGTGTTGTGCTTTAGAGTGCAGTTCTAATCACTAGCAACTATTTATTTCCCTTTAGTTGTTATAGTATTATCTGTACTCATATGCCATATAAACATACAACAATAATAAGAAGTTTGTGTAGATTATATCATATAACAATATGAAATGGAGGGAAGAACAGTTACTTGTAATATTTATATTTTTCTAATTGCTTTATTGTGGAATGTCAGGTTTATAATCACCGTAAGTCAAATAAATACTTTATACACTCATGACTGCAGTTTTTTTTTGCCTCATACTTACTGATCTTTCACTTTTCTTCTCTGAAAGCATTAAGAAATAAATTAAATTATATATATTGTATATCATACAGGTTGTCTCTTGCTCTCTCTGAATTTGTTGTTATAAGATATACCATTTCTGTTGGCAATTCCACGTATGCATTATGTACATTCCTCTTAGGCGATTGGTGCAGTTCACAAAATGTTTCAAAAATTATGAGGATTATTATTATTAGTTTAGGGAAAATGTTACACTCATAAGGGTCGTAGTGTGTCCAAGGAATAAGAGGCAATCGAGTTTGAGCCAAGAAAGAAGAGGGTTAATGAGGGGCTCTTGATCTAAAGAATTGAGCCTATGCTTCCCTTCCTTGAGTCAAACCTGAATGCTTCCTGTTCCACCATGAATGGGGAGTAAGATAACTCAATATGGGTAAAGGTAAATAAAGACAAACCACCCTTCATACATAAGGAAAATTACTACGGTATCCCTAGCTGTCTTCAAGAGGAAACTTAAGGAATTTATCAAGTCAGTGCTAACCAGTTAGGTTGTGGTGCCTATGTTGGCCAGCCCTAAGAGCTTGGTTAATCAGTCAATTATTATTATTATAATCAAAAGAAGAGCTAAGCCACAAGGGCTATACAGCGCTGCAGGGCAGGAAGGAAGCAAGGGCATCAGGTGGCAAAAGGGAGGTGGATGAGTAATAGGTTACGGATAACAGCGGGGCAGTGGATGGTGAAAGGGTAAAGGGCAGCAAGAGACTGAGCTAGAAAGGGCTGAGGGGAGTGTGAAAGGTATCATCATCAGAGTTTGTGGAGTAAATCAGTCGTTGTCAAGAAGTCAATGAGAGAGTCAGGATTAAAGGAGGGTCCATCAGCAAGAAGGGAAGGTAAAGAGAGAGTAGTAGAACGAAGACGATGTTGGAGGTAAATTCTGCGTGCTCGTTGATAGAGAGGGCAGTCTAGTTAATCAGTCAAGAGGTCTGGTCTGGGGCCCAACAAAGGAATTATTATTATAACCAAGACTGTGCTAAACCCAATCCAAGGGAATAGACTCCTTGAACTGTTTACAGGTAATTGAAATATATTTTTCCTAATCCATAACTATAATTCTTTAAAGATATGTGATCATCTTTCTACTATGTAATGCTCTTTTCTTTATCTTTCTTGTGTAATTTCTACACACATCATTCCCAAATATTTTCAGTTTGTCTGGCTACATCCAAATATTTGTTGTTTACAGTATCAGTTCTTGTTTATGATGTAAGGTAAACAAAATCTTGTACTTTATTCTCTCACCTCAATCAGACCATTTTTTAAATTTACCTTTACTAACTTAACATAAATTCTGTGTTGTTTGTAGAGCTTGTTTACCCATTTAAGTAGTGCATACTGTATCTTAAATTTTCAACTGTTACTAAAGAACACACAGTCTTTTCATCCAGCTCTTAGCTTGCCTCTAGTCCCATCATGTTCTCTCTGATCTTTTTGTGTGAATACAGTACAGTATAGTAGTATACTCGTGGAAAAACTAAACATGTCGAGGCCATACAGTACACGGTGACTGGGAGGCAATCCAGTTTGGTCTAATAAAGTAGGTAATATTATTTAAAACATACACTAAACCCATAGAGGGGTATCTCCAATTTCCTAGATCAAGAGCCCTTCAGCATTCCCCACATCCACAACAACATTTATTGCATCTAAGTTTGATTCTGATAATCATGAGTTTAACTGTATGAACAGAAAAGGCAGTAAATTTTAGGTATTGATTCAGAAATAAATTTGTAGCTCATAGAATGGGTGGGATTCGAACCCATAATGAGCTAGTTCTAAAACTAGTAGGCCAGTGGAGTAGTTTTAGGATTGGCTCTCTCCACAGGTTCAAATCCCACCCATTCCATAAGTTTGTGATTCGTAAATAAAATACAGTATAACTAAAAGAACTTTAATTTTTCTTTTCTTGTTGCATCATAAAATACTGGACTACAGAAATATTGTAACTACCAGATACAAAAATTGCAAATTAAATAGGTATTATTTTAGAGTACAGCCCATTACTGACAAAGAGAGAGAGTGAGAAGTGGGTGAATATTAAGATTACAAAAATTTCCTGTCCCCAGAAGAAAACCTGTCATTAAGTTGTTGGGCTTTCTTTAAAATATTACTTTTTTGTGCATCATCAAATTTATTCACATGTAGGTCTTCCTCCCGACTAAAGGGACGTCTCTCCTTTGATCTGGACTTGGCTTCCTTTTCCTGGTACATAACAAGAAAAACTTCATTATCTAATGTATTTTGCTTACATAGCACAATTTATTTGTAAAATAAAATCATACTCTATATCTTTTCAAACATTTGCTCAACATAAGAGTTACTGTTTATATAAGAATTTAAGACTAAAAATAATTTTTTTTTTAACACGCTGGCCATTTTCCACCAAGGCAGGGTGACCCAAAAAAGAAAGAAAAAAAAAACTTCCCTCATCATTCAACACTTTCACCATCAAGTAAATGAAAACAGTTAAGCCTAACCCTTTGTACCCTTCAAGGAGGGCCCATATATTTCAAGTGCTCTTGATATGAGGAACTGTAGCTGCTTTGGTGCCTCACTGTTAAAATCTGAATACAAGGAACAAAATAAAATTATTATAATCAGGGAAAGCACTAAATTTGTAAAGCATTAGGGAATGGGAGACAATCAGGTTTGATCCAAATAAAGGGAAGATTGGTTCATCTCCTTGGATCAAGAGCCCTTCATAAGCATCAAGGGAAATGGGAAATAGGCTAAAAGTGTATGCATTATTTCTAAACTACACTTGCTTTAATTTTAGCTACTTTTTTTCTCTGGTGTAAACTCCACTTTGACTGTGCAGTGCTAAATGATGAGAGTTCACCTTTTTTTTTTTTTTTTTTTTTTTTAATAAAGCCAACAAATTTTTGCAAAGGAATATTTGTAAAAATCTAATGAAGATAAGTTTTTTGAGTGCTAATACATGTAGATCCTGAAAAAGATATTTAAGCATATAATGCAAACACAATACCTATATTAACTTAGGGTCATAAATGTTTATAAGGCCTGAGTGAGCTTAACCCTTTCAGGGTCCAAGGCCCAAATCTGGAGTCACGCACCAGTGTCCAAGAATTTTCAAAAAAAAAATTTGTTATTTTTTCTTATGAAATCGTAGAGAATCTTTTTGTGAAGGTAATAAAACAAAAAGTACGAAATTTGGTGGAAAATTGACGAAATTATGCTCTCGCGAATTTTGATGTGTCAGCGATATTTACGAATCGGCGATTTTGCCGACTTTGACTCCTATTTTAGGCCAATTACATTATTCCAATCAACCAAATTCTTAGCTATTTCACTAGTATTACTTCTATTCTATCGATTGAGCACAAGAAATCGCCAAGTCAACTGTTTCAACTACAAAATAAAGTGATCGGAAATTGTTAATTTGGCCAATTTAACACAAAGTTCAAAATATTCCAATTTCAAAATAGGGTCCAGAATAAACAATGTAGGCATTCCTGGCACTAAACTAACATTTCCTCTGTTCATTAGTTATGTTTTGAGGCTTTACAAATAAATTCCATTTTGATTTTTTATTCACATAATGAATTTTTATTCACACCAAAAAATAGAAGATTTACTGTTATGCAATACTGTAATAATTGTATAAATATCATTACCATATTTGTGAATGTATATTAGACCCACCAGCTGACGTGTATTAGATGTGTGAGGTCGTTTGTTTACTCTTGAATATCGGCAAAAATTTAACATTTCCGCTACTTTGAGCTCAGTTTCAAGCCATTTCCAGTGCTAAAACCAATCAAAATCATCTCTATTTCTGTAATATGTCTTCCATTCTATCAAATGAGACCAAGAAATCGCAAATACAACTATAAAAAACATACGAAAAAACACTGCAAAGTTGCTGTTTTAATCGAAAAATCATGATTTCAGTTTTTTTCTCTCATTATACACAGTGTGCTGCAGGATCTGTTTTATGTGGTGCACACATACCACATAGATGTATTCTCTCATATCTAGGCCCAAATGTACCACTCACAGTTTATCAGAGTGAGCTGAGCTCATGGCGTAGATCTACGGTTTGGACACTCACCGTAAAGCCGTAGATCTATGGGACGGACCCTGAAAGGGTTAATATTGAAGCCAAAGAGCTGGAACACATCTACAGCATAAAACAAGGGACACTTGATACATCAAGTGGGACATTAACTATGACCAAAATATGAAGACAATCAACTAATATGGCAATTACCATTACACACATACCAAAAGTAAAAAAAAAAAATGCTGAAGCAACTTTGCCATAATAAAAATATTCACTAGATACCTTTATTTTCTTCTTGTGTAAGTCAATAAGGGGTTCTGCTCTTTTACTGCTGTTGTACTCTTTCACTTTTTCCAAAAGTTCTTTATCTCGCTGGTTGCTGGCAATATCTTCAGGAGTTATTACTGGCTGTTCTTCTTTTATACCCAGCTGAAAAAGGGACAGTTTTAGAAATGTACCACTTAACAAAAAAAAAAAAAAAAAAGGCTTCACACTCAGAATACCAATAAATATTTTAACAGGGAAATAAAACTAAATGAAATAAAAAGTCCAAAACTGAGCTACAAAATGAATCCCAGAAAAAAATATAAGTTATGAAGAAAAGCTATGCCATCATTGTCTGAGTAGGAGGAAGAAGAAGAAAAAAAAAAAAAAAAAAAAAAAAAAGACATGATAGCCACATTTTGTAAAAGATTAGAAAGGATACTGCTGAATAGAAAGGGAAAAATTTTCAAGACCATGAACAGAGAACAAGAGGATGGTTTATTTTTGGTTAGATTGTTAGAGGATCATTAAGACTGCATATCTGCACTCAAAGATACTCGAACCCTTTCAGGGTCCAAACCCCTGATCTGAAAATTGCTCTCAGGGTCCAAGAATTTAAAAAAAAATATACAGTGGACCCCCGCATAACGATCACCTCCGAATGCGACCAATTATGTAAGTGTATTTATGTAAGTGCGTTTGTACGTGTATGTTTGGGGGTCTGAAATGGACTAATCTATTTCACAATATTCCTTATGGGAACAAATTCGGTCAGTACTGGCACCTGAACATACTTCTGGAGTGAAAAAATATCGTTAACCGGGGGTCCACTGTATATATACATGTATATTTTTTCTTGTGAAATGATAATCGTTATCCGAAGGTAATGACACCGAAAGTACAAAATTTGATGGAAAACTTATGGAATTATGCTCTCGCAAAGTTTGCGGTCTCGGACACACTGGCAATTTTACCCACTTTGAGTCCTATTTTAGGCCAATTCTATTTTTCCAGTCAACCAAACTCTTAGCTATTTCACTAGTATGCCTTCTATTGTTTGAGCACAAGAAATAAAACATTTAACTATTTCAACTACCCAAAAAAAATGATTAGAAATTGGTAATTTGGCCAATTTCACACAAAATTAAAAAACTGCCAATTTATAAATGGGGTCCAGAATAAAAAATGTAGATATTCCTGGCACTAAAACAACATTTCCTCTGTTCATCGGTTATGTTTCCAAGCCTCTCCTACATTAAACGTGCTTTCCATTTTGAATTTTTATTCACACAAAAAATAGAAGATTTACTGTTATGCAGACTACTGCATAACAGTAACAATTTAAAAAATAATGTCAGTGTATTCTTGAATGTGTTTTAGACTGACCAGTTGGATGCGTATTGGACGAGTGGCGTAATTTGTGTCCTCTGGAATATTGGCAAAAATCAAACATTTCCACTACATTGAGCTCATTGTTAAGCTACTTCTAGTCTTAAAACCAATGAAAATCATCTCTATTACATAACCCCTTTTCTGAATGTAAAACTATAGTTATTCTCCATAAAATGTATTTTTTGTTAATATTTTTGGGTGTCTGGAATGGATTAATTGGATTTACATTTTTTCTTATGGGAAATATAAACAAAAAATACATTTTATAGAGGATTATAGTTTTACACACAGAAAAGGGATTATGAAATTCGAGGGTCCACTGTATATCTTTCATTCTATCAAGTGATACTAAGAGACCAAAAATATAACTATAAATACCATCCAAAAACACACCGCAAAGTGGCTATTTAAAACCAAATACGTACACGGTCACAGTTTTTTTCCCCATCATGCACTGCACTGCGCAAGATTTTTTTTATATGTTGCACACTCAATGCAAAGACCATATCGAGACCCAAATTTACTGCTCACTACTTATTTGAGTGAGCTAAGCTCATCACGTAGTTCTACAGCACAGACCCTGAGCTCAAACCAGAAGTACTACAGCATGGGCCTCAAAAGGGTTTTAATAAAGAAAATATGGATTAAAGTAACCTGTCAGTATATACACACACACAGAGATATACACCTCTGAGTGTATATACATTAATGGAAAGAGAGATGCAGAAAGGATCACACTGTAGAGAGTTCTTCACAGAGTGGTAGAACAATGGAATAGGTTACAGGAGGTAGTAATTGCTACAACCATGTTAAATACATAATAATTCTGATAGAATAAATACCTGAGATGAGATATTAAGTTAAGCTCTGCTCTTGTATTTTTTTTTTTTTTTCAACAAGTTGGTTGTCTCCCACCGAGGCAGGGTGACCCAAAAAGAAAATACTTTCATCATCATTCAACACTTTCACCTCACTCACACAATCACTGTTTTTGCAGAGGTGCTCAGAATACAATAGCTTAGAAGTATATACGTATAAAAATGCACAATATATCCCTCCAAACTGCCAATATCCCAAACCCCTCCTTTAGAGTGCAGGCATTGTACTTCCCATTTCAAGGACTCAAGTCCGGTTATATAAAATAACCGGTTTCCCTGAATCCCTTCACTAAATATTACCCTGCTCGCACTCCAACAGCTCGTCAGGTCCCAAATACCATTTGTCTCCATTCACTCCTATCTAACACGCTTGCTGGAAGTTCAAACCCCTCGCCCACAACACCTCCTTTACCCCCTCCCTCCAACCTTTTCGAGGACGACCCCTACCCTGCCTTCCTTCCCCTACAGATTTATATGCTCTCCATGTCATTCTACTTTGATCCATTCTCTCTAAATGACCAAACCACCTCAACAAACCCTCTTCAGCCCTCTGACTAATACTTTTATTAACTCCACACCTTCTCCTAATTTCCACACTCCAAATTTTCTGCATAATACTTACACCCTTAGACAGGACATCTCCACTGCCTCCAACCACCTCCTCGCTGCAGCATTTACAACCCAAGCTTCACACCCATATAAGAGTGTTGGTACTACTATACTTTCATATATTCCCTTCTTTGCTTCTATAGATAACATTTTTTGCCTCCACATATACCTCAATGCACCACTCACCTTTTTTCCTTCATCAATTCTATGATTAACCTCATCCTTCATAAATCCATCTGCTGACAAGTCAACTCCCAAATATCTGAAAACATTCACTTCTTCCATACTCCTCCTCCCCAATTTGATATCCAATTTTTCTTTATCTAAATCATTTGATACTCTCATCACCTTACTCTTTTCTATGTTCACTTTCAACTTTCTACCTTTACACACACTCCCAAATTCGTCCACTAACCTTTGCAATTTTTCTTTAGAATCTCCGATAAGCACAGTATCATCAGCAAAAAATAGCTGTGTCACTTCCCATTTTGTATTTAATTCCCCATAATTTAATCCCACCAGTCTCCCGAACACCCTAGCATTTACTTCTTTTACAACCCCATCTATAAATATATTAAACAACCATGGTGACATTACACATCCCTGTCAAAGACCTACTTTTACTGGGAAGTAGTCTCTCTCTCTTCTACACAACCTAACCTGAGCCTCACTATCCTCATAAAAACTCTTTACAGCATTTAATAACTTACCACCTATTCCATATACTTGCAACATCTGCCACATTGCTTCCCTATCCACTCTATCATATGCCTTTTCTAAATCCATAAATGCAATAAAAACTTCCCTACCTTTATCTAAATACTACTCGCACATATGCTTCAATGTAAACACTTGATCTACACATACCCTACCCACTCTGAAACCTCCTTGCTCATCCGCAATTCTACATTCTGTCTTACCTCTAATTCTTTCAATAATAACCCTACCATACACTTTTCCTGGTATACTCAGTAAACTTATTCCTCTATAATTTTTACAATCTCTTTTGTCCCCCTTCCCTTTACATAAAGGAACTATACACGCTCTCTGCCAATCCCTAGGTACCTGTGTAGTTATAAATAAGTGTAGTTATAAATAGTTAATTACATCATGCAGGAAAACTCCTAAATGGGATAGTGTACTCAAGGACATCAATACGAAAATAAAGGTAATTTACAAAACATGAACACTGATTTACCTGTTAAATTGGATATAGGTAATGTATCTAGCTACATCTTTGATACCACATTCTTATTTGCAACTATCCTTGATGGGGCATCTGCACAAAGAATCTTCCTTACATATTTAAAAATCTTCAAAATTTGAAGAGGCTAAAGAATAGAAAGTCACAATACCATGGCTGGAACAATTCACCAAAAAGCATCACTTAAATATTGTGTTTGACAATGGTCCAGGATGGATCAAAACATCATTATAACACTTCCTTGATGGTTGCAACAAAACTTTTAGGCATAACAGAAGATGCAAAAATCTCCTTGATATTCCCTGTGTCTAACTCAACCTGTGTAAAAACTCAAGTGTGCATAAGAGGCCCTAAAATTTGGAACTTTCTGCCTAAAGATCCTAAAGGTCAACTATCTGCCAACTGCTTCAAGGCTATTGTGAAAAACCACCTCATTATCTTAATATGATCTCGACAGCAATATACTATGTCAAACAAAACCTAAACCCTGCTGTTTTCATCCAATTCTGTTCCTGTTCTTTTTCCTCCAGCCTTCCTTCAACTCCCATATAGTATTAGAAGCATATACTATCTCATCATATTTGTGTTGTAATTTAAGTAACTAGTACCACTCACTCTACTAAACAACTATATCTTCTTACTGTGATTTTTATAATGAATTAACTGAGTAAATATAAAGTATATTACAGGCTAACTTTTGCCTGAGATCCTTTGCATTCTTCAGGCCTTCAGTTTATTCTATGCCCTATGCAGTAATACAGCCTCTCCTCACTTAGTGACGTACTCGTTTACTGATGACTCGGACTTACAACGGGCCCTCTGACCAGTATGCATACCTAAAAAATGTATATTAGAGCTGATTTCCTCTATTCTGTTTATTACAATATACAGTATACTGCTGTATAAACATTTAAAAATATACCAGTAATGTTATAAATGGTGCAAAGGTGGCATTAAAACAATATCAAAAGATGGTTGACACAAACCCACTACCATTATAGTATGCTCCTTATTTAGCAACGAATTCATTTACCAATGTGATCTTAGGAACGGAACTCCGTCATTCAGTGAGGAGAGGCTGTACTCAAATTTATGTTAGTATCCAAATTTGTACTTAACCAACATTAATAATCTCCACAAATGTTATAGCAAATTGTCTTACTTAAGCTTCCAACAAACTGTTCTCGCAAAAATTCTACCAGTAGTTATATTAGTAGTTATAAGTTATTTTAAGGCTGTCTGAAATGCTTTGCATAATCAGGGGTTTTCTATAAAGTATGTCAATAATATCACCGTTTCTGTACCAACTGCAAACCATTCTTTATAGAAATGAGTTTATTTTATTTTATTTTATAAAGTTCCTTCCCTAAGCATGGGCTTCTAGTGAATTTGCAGAAACTAAGAAATAATTGCAAAAAATATTTAAAAATGTCTTACTTCTGCTTTTCTTGCTTTATCAGCAGGAGTATCTGTCCACCCTGAGCAATCCCTTTTCGCTTGTGGAGTCTTCCGCAAAAACTGACGGGGACCCAGACCACAGAAATTTGGTTTGTCCTCAGGTAATTCTGTCATCCAAGACTCGCGTACCAGTGGCTTGTTGTCCTGTTGAAGATTACTGGCATTTTTATACAGCATTTCAATTAAGTTTCATTATAAATATATTAATTTTTTTTTTACCTCATCAGCCATCTCCCACTAAGGAAGGGTGACCCACTAAAGGAAACACACAATATGTTTTATGCAGTTACTGTCTTGCCAGTAGTGTGATGACATCACAGTTCAGATGACCCTCTGAATGCAATATCCCCACTCCTCCAGAAAGCAGACACAGCCCTTTCCACTTTTATGACTCAATTCCAGCTAACTGGTTTCCTTGAATCCCTTCATAAAAGTTACCTTGCTAACACACCAGCAGCACATCCAGCATTAAAAACCATTTGTCTTCACTCATTCTAATATAACACTTACAAGCCTGCTGGATACTGAAGGACCTGCCTAGTACTGGCCAACAGGCCTACTGCAGTATTCCTCCTTTCTTATGTTCTATAATAGTCAAAACCTTCTTTATGCATAACAATCAGTGTCATAAATACTTATCTATATACAGATAAATCCCACATAGACAGACAATAAACTTCATAGTAGAATAAATAGATCTGGATATTTTGGTCTCAATCTGAGACCCTCTTTAGCATATGTAGAAGAGGGTTTGAGGCCAAAATATACAGATCCTTTCTACACCGAGTTATATTTCATGTAGGATTTACCTGTATATGTATATGGTACCCAGTATGTATATGTATATATGTATGTACATGTATGTAGGTATGTACATGTATGTATGTAGGTGGGTATGTATGTAGATATGTATGTATGTAGATATGTATGTATGTAGATATGTATGTATGTAGATATGTATGTAGATATGTATATATGTATGTATGTAGGTAGGTATGTAGGTATATATGTATGTATGTATGTATGTATGTAGGTAGGTAGGTAGGTATGTATGTAGGTAGGTACGTATGTATGTAAGTAGGTACATATGTATGTAGGTAGGTACATATGTATGTAGGTAGGTACGTATGTATGTAGGTAGGTACATATGTATGTAGGTAGGTATGTATGTATGTATGTATGTATGTAGGTAGGTACATATGTATGTAGGTAGGTGCGTAGGTATGTATATATTTTTTTAACACATCGGCCATCTCCCACCACATAATCACTATCTTTGCAGAGGCACTCAGATACAACAGTTTAGATGTCACTCCAAATAGCCAATACATATGTATGCGTATATATATACAGTTGGACCCCTGTATTCACAGATCTCATATCTGCAGTTTGTTATCCACTGTTTACTGTGACCCAAAAATAACCCTTAATTTTGTTTAATAATAACACCGAAGTGTAAAGGTAGTGATGCTGGCAGTTCTTCTAAGCCCAAGAGAAGCTGTAAAATGTTTCCTATCAGTAAATAAAAGTGCTAATTCTAGACTTATTTTGCTTAATTTATCAATTAAACTTTATCATAGGTATCTATGTAAACGAAAAATGACTCATATGTATATAGTGTTCACTACTATCCACGGTTTCAGGTATCCATGGTAGGTCTTAGAACATATCCCCAGCAGATACGGAGGTCCTACTGTATATGCATGTGTGAACGTTAGATAGGAGTGAATGGAGACGATTGGTTATTCGGACCTGATGAGCTGTTGGAGTGTGAGCAGTGTAATATTTTGTGAAGGGATTCAGGGAAACTTGTTAGCTGGACTTGAGTCCTGGAGGTGGTAAGTACAGTGTCTGCACTTTGAAAGAGGGGTCTGAGATATTGGCTGTTTGGAATGACATCTAAACTGTCGTATCTGAGCACCTCTTCTTCTTTAAGAGAGCCCTCTGTATTTAAATTATAGTACATACACACTAGAAAACCTACTGGTCAATATTCAGCATGCAGTATATGACATATGAAGAGGCTTTAAAATGAATGCTCAATAATATATTTCATTTATTTTACATATATGGTTATCTCAATGGCCAATGCATTAAAATTTTTTAATATTATTATTATTATAATTAGGGGAAGCGTTAAACCCATGGAGGTCATACAGGGCTTGAGTTTAGTCTAAGGGAAAAACAGGTAAAATTCTTTGGATCAAGAGTTTCACCAACATCAAGGCACCTCTCTTCAGGTAATATTAATAAGCCTTTATCCGTCAATGGGTTGCATTACTTTTTGAACATTACCTATTAAGCATTTTTTTTTATAACACGTCAGCCGTCTCCCACCAATGCAGGGTGGCCCAAAAGAAAGAAAAACCCAAAAAGAAAGAAATAACTTTCATTATCATTCAACACTTTCACCATCACTCATACATAATCACTGTCTTTGCAGAGGCGCCCAAATATGATAGTTTAGATAGTCACTCCAAACTGCCAATATCCCAAACCCCTCCTTTAAAGTGCAGGCACTGTACAGGTCGTCCATCACTAATCCGGCAATCAGTTATACAGTTCCATCAGTAATCTGGCACTAATTTCAGCTAGCATAATTTCAAATTTCATCATTATACTGACTCAGAAATTGTGCAGATAGTTGTAAATCCACAGCAGCAAACCAGTGGAGGACAAAGCAGTGATGAAAATGAGGAAGATGTAGCAGAAAGTCTCTATTGATAGGTTAATTAAGTGTATTCTAACCTAACCACTCTTTAAACCGGCAAACTCACTAATCTGGTACACTACAGGTCCCAATGATGCCGGATTAGTGATGGCCGACCTGTACTTCCCATTTCCAGGACCCAAGTCCGGCTAACCGGTTTCCTTAAATATCTTCATAAAATATTACCCTGCTCACACTCCAACAGCTCATCAGGTCCCAAAAATCATTCGTCTGCATTAAGCAGTTAAAATTATATAAAAGTTTAGAAACTTACTATATTTTTTCCTACTATCTTGTCCTTCATTCTCTGTGCCCTGAGTTCAAATTGTCTGATTCTATACTCATTTTCATCAATTTCCACTGCTGAAGGTAGTGGTCCTATAGTGGGTCCAACATCGTCTTCAATATCACTATTTTCTCCCCTATCACTGTCTATAAGAGGTACTTCTCTGGGAGGAACATAACCTTTAGGAAGTGTCGGCCCCAAGACATGTCTTCTGTCAGACTGTGAAGATTCTTCTCGCTTTTTATTTAACAAATGTGGTGGTAAAGCTGCTCCATACACATTACTTTCATCGTCATCAGACTCAGAGGCTGGTTTTTGCTCTAGATTTTGTTTCAATGTTTTTCGTGCGGGATTATCACAACTGATTTCACCTGTTCTCTTTAAATTCTGATTCTGAAGGTTGTGTGATAATTTTTGGTCATTTGAACTAGCACTTTGATTGACACTACCTCCTCTCTTTCCTATTAAGTGTGGTGGTAATTCTGGTAGAAAAGCATCTTCATCCATGTTTTCCTCATTTGCCTGGGGTTTAACATCAGCTGTAAGTAATTTATGATTATTAAAATATAATGAAACATTACATATAAAAAATCAAGTTTTTATATTTTGGAGGATTTTTTTTCTTATAAAAGTATAGGCAAAAAGGAGACATTCCAGAAGTTTCAGTGCTACTTGACCCAAAATACTTTTAGAAAATGTGTTTAAGCCTCAAATTAACTTAATACTATCTTAACCCTTAACCCTTTGACTGTCGCAAGCCCATTTCTGAAACTGTCATTCTGTTGCAAAATTTTTGGAAAAAAAAAAAAAAAAAAAAATCTAATGAAATGATAGAGAATCTTTTCCCGATTGTAATGACACCAAAAGTACAAAATTTGATCAAAAATTTACAGAATTATGCTCTCGCGAAGTTAGCGATCTCAGCGATATACTTATATACACAACAGCGATTTCGCCGACTTTGAGCCCTATTTTCGGCCAATTCCATTGTTCCAATTGACCAAACTCATAGCTATTTCTTTAGAACTCCATTTTTTCTATCACTGAGTACATTTACCGATTTCAAATACCCAATACAGTGGTCAGAAATTGGCAATTTGGTCAATTTCACACAAATTAAAAAAGATGCCAATTTCAAAACAGGGTACAGAATAAACACTGCAGACATTCTTGGCACTAAAATAACATATCTTCTGTTCATTAGTCATGTCTCCAGGCCCCTCTTATATTACTCTTGCTTTCTATTTTGATTTTTTATTCACACAAAAAATAGAAGATTTACTGTTATGCAGACTACTGCATTATTGTAAAAATGGTATAAATAATATCACTGCACTAATGAAAGAATATTAGACTCCCCAGTTGACGTGTATTGGACGTGTGGTGTGATTTGCTTACTCTTGAACATTGGTAAAAATCGAACATTTCTGCTATTTTGAGCTCAATTTCAAGGCCGTTTTCATCGAGAAACTAATCAAAATCATTTCTGGTTCTGTAATATGTTTTCCATTCTATCTAATGAGACCAAGAAAACAAGAATACAGCCATAAATACTATACGAAAATACATCTCAAAGTTGGTGTTTTAATCCAAAAAACACGGTCGGAGTACTTTTTTTCTCATTATGCAGTGTGTGCTGCAGGATTTTGTTTATACAGTGCACATTGACCACACAGACCCATTCTCTCACATGTGGGCCTACCAGTATTCTAATGCTTGAATTGAAGCCACAAGAATTATTGAGTATATATATGTCCGAAACACTGACTCGTAAGACGTATATATACAGTGGTCCCTCGTTTTTCGTAATTAATCCGTTCCTGGAGGAGCTACTATAAACGAAATATACGATTTGCGAATCAATTTTCCCCATAAGAAATAATGTAAATACAATTAATCCGTTCCTGACACCCAGAAGTATTAAAACAAAAAATTTTTTTACATGAAATATACATGTAGTACATAAACAATACAATGGGAAATGATGAATGAAACATTAACAGCATAACACTTACCTTTATTAGAGATTCTTCTTAGTGTATGGAAGACTGGAGGAGGAGAGAGATTGGATTGTTTACAGTTTGGAAGGGGAATCCCCTTCCAGCAACACCTCAGGTACCAATTGCTTCTCTGGGGTTGCTTCTCTTCTCTGTTTCTTAATGCCACTAGGACCACCTTGAGAGTCATTCTAGTCCTGTCTCGCAAAGTAACTGTGGAGAGAGCTCTGTTTCTGGCGTCTCTTTAACACTTCCCTAAAATGGCCCAAGACTTTGTCACAGTACATACTTCTCACCTTCTTTACCACAGGCTTGGCACTAGCTTTCTTTGGAGCCATGGTAGCTTATTTAGTACTTGCAAGCACTAAAATGAGTGGAATATTATGAAATATTTCGTAGGAGCACTTGAGGGGACCTTCACTCACTGGTAAACAATGCCAGACTGGCTGGGTAGGGAGGCCGCCCTGGCTCACACCGTGCATACGCGTCCCGAACGAACTACTATTCGCGAGTCAACCTATGAAAAGCGAGTCCATGTTTATACGAAAATACCCCTATGATTGGCGAAATTTACGATTGCCGAGAACTACGAAAAGCGAGGGACCACTGTATATGGCTGAAACAGTCAAAGGGTAAACTGTCCAAACATAGATCTATGATGATGTGCGTAGCACTCCGAACGTAGATCTACTTTTTTTTTTACATGCTTTCAAATGGAGAAAATGAAGGTTAGAGCACTACGCACGTGAACGTAGATCTACATTTGGACAGTTTAAGGGTTAATAATTTCTACTACTATAGAGGACCACCTGCAGCCAGAAGGCAGTAGTGAAGTCAGGTAAATATTATTATTATGCAACTTTTGTCACCTTGTTTACCTAAATATAAGCCCATACAGGCACAGCACACAATGTCTAGAGCAACAATAGACACAACATTTGAACAACAGCTGGAGATACAGTTGAATCTTGTAATTCACGAGAGTTAGGGTCCTGGACATGACACAAATATGGAAACCTTGAACAGGGGTCATGCACCAAGTAAATATAGAGACCAAGTAAAAATCCAAATACAAGTATAATGCAAATTATGCAATTCAACTATACATGACAGTGGCAACCATCTTGAGCTTATAACACACCAACTCCAACATCTGTCACCTTGCTGATGGTTCTCTCTGTTATGTGAAACTGACACCCAGTCACCCACAGGACTGTTTCAACAGGCTACACTTTCCAACAACTACGTTTTCATACTGCTGTCACAGACAACCTTGGTTTCTGACACCAAACAAGTTAATGCCTTCCAATCTGGGCTACTGTACATTAGTTTTCACTTGCATCTCTACTTTTAACAAAAATTATATTTTTAATAGTATTACTGTAATTTGAGACAATACTTTTGGTATTTCCACTAACCAAAGCTTATACAATACCTAGTAAACTAATATGTTCAATTAAACAATCAACTTTTGTATAGTATAACACATAAGATATATTCCATTATTCAAACACTTTTTGTCTATATAGTAGGGTTTTACAAGTCAACAGAACATACTCTACCTATGGAAAGGAGATTCTATTGGTAGGAGCAAGGAGAGGTCAGATGCAGTGTCAGTGATTGGTCTGAATGATATTGTTTAGCCCCTTAGCTTAGATTATAAGTAAAACATTAAACAAAAGCTGTTCAGATTCTTAGCCTTGATATACAAAAAAAATAGTAAAATATATAAGAGCCATAAACAAACAGAAAATTAGTACACACAATGGTACGCCGAGTTTCAACCATAATTCGTTCCAGAAGGCTGTTTGAGTGCCGTTACCAAACAAATTTGTTCCCATAAGGAATAATGTAAATTACCTGGACAGGGTTTCAGAGGTCAACACCCCCGCAGCTCGGTCTGAGACCAGGCCTCATGGCGGATCAGGGTCTGATCAACTAGGCTGTTACTGCTGGCCACATGCAAGTTGATGTACGAACCACAGCCCAGTTGGTCAGGTACTGACTTTAGGTGCCTGTCCAGTGCCTTCTTAAAGACAGCCAGGGGTCTATTGGTAATCCTCCTTATGTATGCTGGGAGGCAGTTGAACAGTTTTGGGCACCAGACACTTACTGTGTTGTCTCTCAATGTACTCGTGGCACCCCTGATTTTCATCGGGGGAATGTTGCATTTCCTGCCGAGTCTTTTGCTTTCACAGGGAGTGATTTTTGTGTGCAGGTTTGGTACCAATCCCTCCAGGATCTTCCAAGTGTATATTATATCTCTCTCTCCCCTGCATTCCAGGGAATACTGATAAGGACCTTCAACTGTTCCCAGTAATTTAGGTGCCTTATCGTACTTATGTGTGCCGTGAAAGTTCTTTGTATACACGTACTCTCCAGGTCTGCAATGTTGCCAGCCTTGAAGGGGGCTGTTAGTGTACAGCAGTATTCCAGTCTAGAGAGCACAAGCGATTTGAAGAGAATTATCATGGGCTTGGCATCCCTAGTTTTGCAGGTTCTCATTATCCATCCTATCATTTTCCTAGCAGATGAGGTAGATACACTGTTGTGGTCTTTGAAGGCGAGATCCTCTGATATTATCACTCCCAGGTCCTTCACATTACTTTTTGCTCTATTGTATGGTTAGAATTTGTTGTATACCCTGATACATTTTTAATTTCCTCAAGTTTCCCATATCCGAGTAGTTGAAATTTCTCCTCGTTGAACTTCATATTGTTTTGAGTGGGCCATTCGAAGATTTGATTGATGTCCGCTTGGAGTCTTGCGGTGTCTTCGATGGAGGTCACTGCCATGGTAATCCGGGTGTCATCCACAAAGGAAGACACGGAGCTATGGCTTACATCTCTGTCTATGTCAGAAATGAGGATGAGGAATAGAATGGGAGCGAGTACTGTGCCTTTTGGAACTGAGCTTATTATATTAATCCGTTTCAGACCCCTAAAAATACACTTAGAAAAGCAATTACAAAATACACTTACATAATTCTTCAAGTTGGGAGCTGTACAAAACTCTGGGTGCCACTGTATCTGATATAGCAGATAACAGTAAACCCTCAATGTTCTCGTGTTATGTCTGGTTGGAGCTGATATAACAGTGCTACAGTAGTAGTAGTAATAATAACAATAACAATATCATCATTTCTACAAGTACATGTACATTGTATACAGGCCTAGCTGACATCAGTGACATACTATATAGAAAGCTGCTTGTTATGCAGAGCATTTTAGGCAAATTAGGTCAGTTTTGTCCCAATATGTGACCCACATCCAGCTTTTTCAGTTAAAATTATCAAATTATATGGAAGGTTGCATGTCAAAATACAATCAAGCAAAATTTTAACTATGTATGAAATCTATTAAATACAGTATTTAACCCTTCAACTGTCACAACCCCAAATCCTAAGGTGTCTCTCTGTCACAAAAAAAAAAAAAAAAAATTCTTATGGAATGATAAGAGAACTTTTTTCCCGATGTTAATGACACCAAAAGTATGAAATTTGATGGAAATCTTACAGGATTACGCTCTCGTGAAGTTAGCGA